CCCCAAAACCCCAAAACCCCAAAACCCCAAAACCCCAGGACTTAACATATATATTGAAACAAAAATGGATCCTGTATCCCACGTCTTGTATGCTCCAATCGCAATAAAAACCCGCAAAAAGCCTCGAAACAACTCTAAACCCCACCAATCCGTGTATCTCTTCTCTAACCTTTCAGCTTGGAACTCAGACCAGTCACCTTCTCCCACAAGCCCTCTAAAAGTAAGTTCTCCACCTCCTCTCCTCCCAACCCCTTAACCTCCATCCCTTTAACCCCTTCTGCTTCCTCCCAAATCCCTAAAATTGTCCTAATTTCTTTTAAAAAATCCAAAAATTGACTAAAGACAAACAAAATTTGCCATTTTTGTTCGGAGGATTTTGGAGAGTCGATTTGTTTATGGGCCAGGTTAGGAAATTGGGATAAACTTTGGGAATTAATTGGGGGATTGGGTATAGGAAGGAAATTTTGGGGGTCTTTAGTGGAGGATTTGAGGTTTTGGGGGTTATGGGGGATTTTTGAGGACTTTTTATTGGTTTAGGTGTTGTTAGTGCGAGTAAGATTTTTTTGCAATTTTTTACAAATTTTTGGGACTTTACTATTTAGGGCCTCTGGCTAAGCCCTCTGTCTAAAATTTTGATGAAACCTCATTTAGAACGTCATAAGACTCCAAAGGCAAGAAAGAAGTTCAAATCGGTACTATATCCTTAATCTTCAGAGAAGGATTCAAACTGACTTAAAAAGGACAGAAGTTGAAGGGAAAGCTTACTTGAAGGAGCTTGATGAAAAGTATCCGCTTATGTTTATTTATAGGCTTGAAGAAATACAAAAGATAGCAAAATTAGATGGTAAGTTTCTTGGCTTTTTGCAGTTAATTTTTATTTTGCTAAAATAAAATTTTATAGAAATCCGAAAGGAAGAAGAAAAGAAGATTAAAAATGAAGAGGATTCAAAGGAGGATATTGATGTAGAGACAAGATTGCAGGAGATTAGGGATTGTTGTGACGAGTTTAGAGAGATGCTAGGTGAGAATAGGGTTACAAGGTGTACTTGAGGGTTTTTACAAAGTTCGATTTTGAGTTTCTAGAGATTAATTTTGCCTCTTTTAGTTTGAATTTGAAATTTTGGGTGGTGATGTGTTGCAGTCGGATTTTTATAATATTGGTTTTAGGAAACTTTTCAAAGGATATTTATGAGTCAGAAGTATTTGATTACTATACTAAGAGTAACTTAAGACTAATTCCTGTAGAATTGCAAGAGGTAGATGATGAAGTAGTTAGAATCTTCAATGCTATAACACAACCTCATCAAGAATCTGACAGAAAAACCATGTTTGATCTTGCTACAAATCAGATTATTGAAGAAACTCCAACACATTTTGTTCTACAGAGGGAGCATAGATCCGAAGTTCAGAAATAACATTCTAGCCTTAATGTTTGTAAGTGTTACCAACCTTAAATTTTAACAAATACAGAAACACCATTAATATGATTGAGACTCACCTACTCTGATTTTTATTCTTTTAATTTATTTTTAGCTCATTGATATTCGAATCTATTAAGTTCTTCCTTGAATTACGAATGCAGCTGCCTAATATATATCTGTGAGGCTTTTGCAAGCCATCTTTTTAATCTAGTGCTAAATTATACTATTCTTTGTCTTCTCACATAATTTATATAGCTTCTATCGATTAAAAATAACTTTATTAACTTTTTTAATTTATCTTAGTCTCTTAAACCATCAAAATCTATCTCCTCTCACTTAATTTCGACAACTAAATCTCCCCTAAGTCCTTGCCAAAAGAAAATTGCAAATTTCAACCCTCAAAATACTAGCACCTCCTAAATACATTTTACAAAACCTCTAGCTTCACTCTCTTAATTCCTCCTTAAACCTCCAATCATACCAAAATTACATATCCTATCTTCTAATTATTCCCACTCAATTAACCCCAAATTCTACACCCCTGAGCCTCTTACCCCTCCTATGCCCATTACTACCCCTTCCTCTCCCATCCTCTAACCTTCCTTCAGAAACTAGACTACCCCAACACTCTGGTACATCCTTCCCTCACTTGTAGCCCATCATCCTGCACACCCTAACCATCATCGTGTACCTTCCTCCCTCACCCATCTAGACCCGACCAGCCAAATTTCTCCAAATAACATAGCTACCGACATCTACCATATCCTCGATTACTCCCTCCAGAGTTACTTCAGTAAGCTCCTTCTCACTTGTAGCTATACCTCAGATTGAAGAAGTTGTTAAGAAATATAAGAGAGAGGTGAACCAGGCTAGGGATGCTGAGAGAGCATCAGGAGTGGGAAGTCAGCAGGAAGATGTGAAGGAAGAGAATAAGGAGTAAGGGAGGAGGGTGAGGTTTAGGGATGATGAGTTGAAGAATATGGAGACAGGCAGTTTTAGAGCGAAGAGTGTGAGAAGTGAGAAGGTTGAGGTGAGGAGAGGGGGTGTGATGGTTTAGGAAGGAGATGAGTGGAGTTGGAAGTTGACTTGTGTGATTGATTTTAAAGGAGCCCCTCCTGTGTTGAAGTTAGCGAATCAATAGTAATTTTCAATAGGATCTGTGTACTTTGGGGTTTTGGGGTTTTGGGGTTTTGGGGTTTTGGGG